TGTGTGCTACTTGGATTTCTTCTGCAGGTAATCTGGATCTTTTGATAAAGCAATTGAAAATTTTCATACCAGAAAATTACACTTCTTAATCTTTTGGGATTTTGTTCGAGTTTACATATATACTCTTCTAATTGAAATTGGGAAGTTTTGTCTCAATTTGTATTTTATAGTGTCACTAGGAAACCTACAATATTCTCTTTATATATGTAAATCAATTCAATGGAATTGACATAGCGCCCAATTCTATTTATTTGCCTGACCAACTGACGCCGAGCAGAATAGTGATTATTCTGCAAGCTAGTTCTATCAGCAAATTCATAGGAAGAACACAAGATTAATACCAATAAACTAGAGAAAAAGTATCTAAAGTTTAAAAAACTTTATTATAGCACGCAATAATTCAAAATAAGTTCACATGCCGGACTTTATAGCAAAAATTTGAATTTTACCAAAAAAAATGGCAAAATTTCGAAAATCACACCAGACGAAAATACGGAATAAAATTAGTATGCGAAATTGGGTTAAAAATTATCTCCTAACATGCAATCGAAAAATTACAAAAAATAGCAAAATTTAACTAAAAATAGCCATTCGAAAGGGAAAACAGCGGAATTTGAAGTTGAAAACGGCACACATCGAGCAAAGCTAGGTGTCTACGATGTGCGTACCGAAACAAGCTTTCCAGATTGTGGTCATAATCGCTATTCTAATAATCGTAGCCAAAGTTATGGCCAATTTACCGAAACACGACTCAATTACCAAAGTTACGCGATCACTTGCTATCATTGCGCCGATCTGCCAACTCGTGATATTTTAGAGCCATTAGACAACTCGACATCTTACTTGGACCCTCCTGCATCACAAAATCTGTCAATGGAACTTGAAAAATAATTCACACAATAACGAATTGTAGACTAAAGAGGGACCAAGGGGAGTACACTTCGGTCCAGGTAAAGCTCGGTGGAAGCCCGATCTATCTACCACTACCATATGTTGTACACACTAGCTTATGTTGACCGAGCTTCAATCTCCAACCTACCTGAGCCGTAATATCCAAAAAAAACAATGATTTTTTGTTGATATCAAAAAATGACACAACATTATTTGATCAATTTTTGTAGATTTGAACTAAATGGAAGTGTTACACTATTGGAATTTTACCATTGAACATAGAAAATTTGACTTCGGACTCCCCATTTCATTCACCTATCATCCCTTTATAAAGAAAGGTGGGCTTAAACTAGCCATCCTTTTCATGTCAAGTTATAGAGTTCCGACTTAGGATTGTGCACTACTGTCTTTTGGAAGGAATTTGATTGGTTGGTAAAATCAGGTATTGTGATGGCTTTTAGGCCTTAAGCTTTGTCTTAAGCCATCTTGTTATTCCCTTAATTGATTGATCTGGATGATGCTATCATAGGGGAGAACTTTCTAAGTCATGATAATGTTTTCATATGACATCTGAACTCGTACCAGAGTTCAATTAAAGTCTCCTATAAGATAGATGTTTTGGATTCGAATTTGGAGGATAAGAGAAGAGGGTTAGAGGGCACATGCTATACCAAATGGGATACTACGTATAAACTAACGACTTCGACACATCTAATCGGGTCGTTACATAAAAAACATAGTAGGGACAAATTTCAGTTCGACATTCGTGTATGCAAGTCACGATCACACGTAAATTCAATGGATCAGGGTAGCGATGGCAATGGGCCGGGCCGAACCGAGCTGAGCTGACTCGACCTATATACCCATGAGCTTGGCTCGTGCTCGTTTTGTGGCTCGGCTCGTTACAAAATGGTCTTGCTCGGCTCGGCCCACGAGCTCGTGGCTCGTGGGCGACTCGCGGGCCGAGTCGAGCTTTAGCTCGCGACTCTTTTTTTTTTTGTGTTTACTTTTCTATACATTTTCTAAATCTTTTAAAAAAAGGATATACGTTTTCTAAATATTTTTTAAATATACATTTTCTAAAACCTTTTTCTCGTTTAAAATAATAATAATAATAATAAAAGATAAACCCTCCTCCTTTATCCGAGTTTAGGACCGGCTACTTCAATTTC